ATAAAATGAAGGAATAATTTGAATAATATCAGATTTGTTTCTAAGCATGTACACCCATGTGTATCTACTGTAATCATCAACAATTGTGGCAAAATACTTATATCCTTGTATAGAAGTAACACAATATGGCCCCCAAATATCACAGTGTATTAATGAGAAACTACTATCTTCAATGTTGTTCAAAGAAACAAATGGAAGTTGTTTTTGTTTTGCCAATGGGCATACAGAACAATGAGAAAACATATCTGCTTTAATTGACTTAACAGATAACTGTTCTTTTATTGGAAACAAACATTTATTAGAATGATGTCCTAATCTGTAATGCCAAACATCCATTGAAACATAATTCACACTATTGACCCTTGTATTCTTGAAACTTGTGCTCTCATCCAGAACATATAATTGTTGATGTACATCAGCTTTGCCAATCATCTTCATGTCCCTCAAATCCTGAATCAAAGCATGATGACAGGTAAACTGGATCATGAACTTTTGATTTCTAGTGAGGGCACTAACAGAAATCAAATTCTGATCAAATGAGGGAACATATAAAACATCTTTAAGTGTGAACAAATGATCAATTTGAACATCACCAATGATAGGAACAGGAAGAGTTATCTTGTTAAGAAGAGTAACACTATAATGCCTTACTTTCTTTTATTCAAGAACATATTAATCTCATGACAAACATGTTGAGTAGCCCCGAAATCTATTATCCATTTATGAGATTTTTGTCCTAAATTAATGGATAAAGAATAGCATTTACCTGTTGTAGTCTCTTCATTTGGATTAACTTTGATCATATGATTAGACAATGCAGACATGACTTGTTGACACTGATCCTGAGAAAAACCTCTGAACATATTGGCCAATTCAATGTTGATAGAAGCATTTTGAGCATTAGAATCATCATTTGCATTCACAGCAGCTACATGATTGAACGATTCTTTGTCTTATAACCAAAACTATTGGACTTATATCCAGGAGGATATCCATGTAGCTTATAGCATTTATCAACTGCATGACCTTGAAAATTACAATGAGTACAATATGGTCTGTCCATGTTAGATGACTTGTAATTTGTTTGAGGTTTTCTTGTTGAATTGACAGATTGATTAGAAACTTTAGCCATAAAAGCCATTGAATGTTGAACATCAGTGGAAGCATTCGTAATGGACTTTTGTTTTTCCTCTTGTGAAATTAAAGAAAAAGCACGATTAATAGAAGGTAAAGGATCCATGAGAAGAATCTGACCACGAGATTGAGAGAATGATTCATTTAATCCCATGAGGAAATTCATAATGTGCTCTGATTTGAAATATTCCTCGATTTCTTGTACTCCATTACATTCACACTTATTACAAGTGCAATGTGGGCAAAAATTGACAAGCTCTTCAGTCAAGGATTTTAGCTTGGTGAAATAAACACCAACAGGGTCTTGGTTTTGCTTCATATTGACAATTTCTCTGCGGATCTGAAAAATCCGAGGACCGTTACTTTGTTGAAATCGATCCTATAGATCCTTCCATATGTCACAGGCAGTTTCTGTAAACATAATACTCGCTGAAATTTCTTTTGATACAAAATTTAAGATCCATGAAATCACCAATTTGTTGTTGCGCATCCAAGCATTGTAATTAACTTGATCCGGAAAACTTGGTTTAGGAAGTGTTCCATCAATGAATCCAGTTTTATTTTTTACAGAAAGAGCTATTTGCATAGTTTGACTCCAGGAATTGTAATTATCACTGGTGAGAGGTTGCGAAACGAGAATAAAACCATGACTGTCTGAATAATGGAGATAATAAGGATGTATGCGATCATCAATTGGTGCAGTCGTAGATCCAGAAGAATTTGATTGAGATGAAAGATTAGTTGACATCTTTGAAAAATCGAATAACACGATCAGAAAAAAATGAACGAAAAATAGTAAATCGGAGCAACGAAGAAGATGAACAGGACTGTCACTTGCCTTAAAACTTTCCGAACTTAAATCCAAAATTCATAAAAGGCCCGAACTGTCACTTAACGGTTATACCCTTGGGCTCTAAATTACAAACCGAACTCTCGGATCACCCAATCCACATTATTCACACCCAAGGGGCCTAAATCTCTCTTTCCCCTAAGGCCCAAAGCCTTCTAATAACCGATCTTCGGATCACGACCCTGAATTAGGAAACGATTAGGAACAGGGTGTTACACCCATAACATGTACCACAATATTATCCAATTTTGGTCACTCGAAACGAAACCTTTTCATAGGTCACCTATCATGAAAATTTTATCCTATGAGCATCATTAACTATAGAGTTCTCATTGGATATGTTACATTACAACTTTAAAATGCATTGTGATAGGGAAGGTATACAAACCCCTTTTAAGAAATTCCCCTATATAAGTAATGGTTAGTTGTCTATTACAGGTTCGATGTCCATGTTATGATACCATTTGCAACATCCAAAGGTACACACATGAATATTGTCCGTTTTCGGCATCTCAACATGAAAACTTACCCAAGGGCTGCATATTCTTAAATTTACTCTCCCTCATGTCTACTTAACAATGAATTTCTTATTGTTTATAATGTCCTCATAATTTTTAAGTGGGTGGTTACATGTACCTGATCATGTTCACGTGCAGGGGAACTAAATATTCCTTATAAGGGTGTCAAGTTTTAAATTGTATGAAATTATAAAAAAAATTTAAAAACTACAAGTCAAGTTTAAAACGTTGAAATTAAAAAAAAAAACTATAAAAAAGAAAAGAAAAACCTTAAAAATGTTGGAATTTTTTTTAAAAAAGTATTTTAAATTTGTAGAAATTTTAAATTAGTAAATTATATAGATGAATATCACAATAAAATTTAATGTTTAGACTAAATTTGTAACAAATTTTAAAACCCAAGCCAAAAATGAAATTATAAAGAGGAGTAGTTTGTTCAAAGTGAGATAACAAGATAAAAATACAGAAACATAATTTGGTTATTTTTTTTTAAAAGTAAAATATATTTGTTGGCAATTTGAATACATTTTAATTTTTTTTTCTAAAAAATTTATGAATTATGACCCATTATAATATTATTGTAATGATATTAAAATAGAATCTATATTTATTAGAAAAATAATTAGACCATCCACAGCGTCATCTTTCAAACAACTTGCAATACCACTTGTATAATATTAATATGTCACGTCCACACACTTCTTTCAAGTATTGAAAGTCTTGCAAAAAAAAGTGGCCCACATTTATGAATTGTTAATTGCTTATTTATTTAATTATTCTTATGTGGCATGTATTGCAAGCTCCCCACATTGCACCGATGTGGGTGCTCTTAGTAGAATGAGTGTGTTGATAATTTATATAAGTTATAAAAATAGAATATATCAGCAATATATATTTAAGATAATAAACAAAATAAAAAATAAAGTGGGATCGATGACTATTATAGTATTAGTATTTGTATTATTTTTTTTTTACTTATTGTTTAGGAAATAAATGGAGGAGTAAGGGGGGCTGGAGATGGTGTAAATAAACCCGAAAGCTACGAATTTAATTATCGATTACGCCCTAGAAAAACCTCATTTTCTATCAATTACTCACCGGAAACATACCTCCAATGATCATGGATCTATTAGCAGTTTAGCAACCTACAGGTTTTCTCTCTTTCATCGTATTGTCGCAATTTCGTTTAAGTCGCCTCTTACGTGTTTCGTTCTTATGTCGTCTTGATATTAATTAAATGTCTCTTTCCGAAAATGTCTGTTGTGTGTGAATCGTAGATGTGATATAACTGCTATTTTAAAACAGTCGATCTCCGTTTTAGAATGTATATTATAGAATCACGTATAGTGCTCTATCTGTTTTGAACAGGTTAAAGAGGTAACTCTTTCCTTTCATTCCCTTTTAGATGAAATAAACTCTGTTTTTATTTTCTTGGAAATGGTATGCAATTCTATTCAGGGGTCGGTCGAAACAAAACAAGTACATTGCGTATTTATTCTAATGTTTGAAAACTTATCCATGTCGGTATAATGGCGTTCAGAAAGCAAGTATGCAAAATTGTCAAGCAACCCAGAATCGCTATACATTCTTGGATTTTATGGCTATCTCTTTAAATTATCAAATCTGACCTGTAGCAATTTTTTTTTTGGTCTAGAAGTATGAATGATGCTTCCAAGAAAATCTAGTAATTAAAAGGTTAATAACTTAGAAAGTTAGAACCATGCACTCTACGTTCTTTATTTTTATTGATCCAAATAAAGCACATACCTTTTTGCTTGAGGTATGTTATTGTATATTCATGTATGCTGCATTGTGCATACTTACGTAATTGTGTTTCCTCATCATGTTGCAGCTTACAATAGAAGGTAATATATAATTTTGAGAGAGAAGTCGATGGAGGTGGCAATGAGCAAGTGCAGGAATTAAAGAGTCTGAAGATGAACAGGTGGATTGGTTTGTCTTTCTTTCAGATGACATCCTTTCAGATATCCTTGAAAGGCTTCCCAATGGTTTCCTCCATCATAAGGCTAAGTATTGTATATCTGCAGAAGATGGTTCGACATAATCACCAACATGATCTTGCTAGACCATGCTTCTTTTATCCCTCAAAAGTCAAGTGGAATTCACACAATGCGCCTTGTGGAAATAAGGGAAGAACAACAAGGACTAAAAGTGAAAGAGCAAAATCTTGACATACCTTTTGGTGGCAAGATAAAGTCCTGGTATAACGAGTTTCTTCTTATATCGGATCCCTCTAGAAGAAAATCTCTGTATGTTTTCAATCTAATGACCAAGGAAAAAGCTAGCTTATCTTCCCGAATGTCATACATCTTGTCAAGGACACCATGCTAGCAGATGTGGAGTGGCCCTTTTCTTCGATGAATTCAAGGGAGTATACAAGGTGGTTCACTTTTATATGAACCGAAAAATCCAGTTTCATATTCTTATTTTTGGAAAGGGATATTGTCTCTGGTGTTTCCTCCTCAAATTGGAAAAAGATGGAAGTTCCTTCTGATATGAAGGATTTGCAATGTTATGGGTGTAGCCCAGTTTCAGTTCAGGTTCAAGGCAGGTATTTTCACTGTGATGTTGATTGTTCTCACTACCTGGTTTCGGTGGATATGGTAAAAGAGGAAGTTTTCTGGATGAGCCTACCTGGATCTTATGATCGATCGTAGCAGCAGCCTTTATTCTATTCTTGAAATGGGTGGTTTCCTTACTCTCATTGTTGGAGGTGGAGCTCTTTTGGACAAGGCTGATATATGGATTTTCAAAGGATGAAGTGGGAGAAGCTGCAGTCGATAACTGTCCAGGATAACTGCTTTAGAAACCATCTTGGAAATTATTTTCTATTTCCTGTGTGTGGTGTGGTAAGTAAGAGATATATCATCTTTGAAAAACCTAGATCTCGTATGTGTAGTTATGATTTGAAAAATGGAGTTGTGAAAGCGCTGAAAATCAACTTTGAATCTGCTTAATTATCCTTATGTGGTATGTTCATACAGTCGAGATTATGACTTATGAGAATAAAGATAGTATCGATGTGGTGAACTCAATACAAGTAATACTTATTTTTATACTAAGTTTAGAAGAAGAGTAATTTGGTAATTTTGGGTTCCTAATGGCAAGAAGAGATTCAAACGGTTTCCCTTTAGCATATCTTTCTTTTCCAAACGGTTTCCCTAAATTTTGTGTATAATTCCAAATTGAGATTTTCTAATATGTGACCTGAAGAAACATATAAGAAGTATTAATTATGAAGAATATTAACTTAAATAAATATGAAATATAAATGTGAAATGGATTAATTATATTGAATATAGTGTGAATGTATTGATTATGAAGAATATTATTAATAATTAATGTATTTTATATTTAATTTGGTAATATTTTTTTAATTAATGTTTGTTATATGTGTTATAAAGTAGAAAATCTCTTCCAAATTTATATTTTAGGAACAAAAAAGAAAGTAAGAAAATGAAAATCTAAATAAGTAAATAAACATGATTTTTAGGAAACCGTTTGGAAAAGAAAGATACGCTAAATCCTTGGAAAAGGAAAATACGGTTTGGAGATAGTTTCCGATAAATTGGGATGGGTATCCGGGTAGATTCGTTCTATAAAACGATCCAAAACCCTAGAAGCATTCGGAGAGTCGAGCTAGAAACGTGATCAAACATCCGCAAGAGAAGATTCAATATCTGAATTTAATCTATCGACTTCAAGCGATTTTAAGGTAGGATCTCGAACCAAGTTTACGATTATTCATACTTATAGCTTTGTTATGATGTTTAGAGTTGTTTGGTTGAGTCCTGTAAACTAAATCGACCAAAAATCCAAGGATATATGGATTGTTTTTCTTGACATTGTAATTTCCTGGTTTTGATGAAGTGAAATTTCGTTTTTATGAAGATACAATAGTTAAGTACTAATTACGATTATTAGGAGTGGAGATACAAATTATATGTGATTTATTGATATAATAATGGAAGGAAATTAAGAGAATCAAAGGCTAAAATCATAATGTAAGTATGTTTGTATTTAAAAAAACAACGGGTAGAAAAACTTAATTAATATGCTATTTTGAAACAGAAGCTGATCGATGTGGAAGGGAAGTGCATGAAAGAGTCTGAAGACGAAAGGATGGTGCTAATGACAAACGAGGTTAACCGGTTTGACTTTCTCCCTGATGACATCCTTTCAGATATCCTTAAAAGGCTTCCCGATGCTTTCCTTTGTTATAAGGCTAAGTATGTCTGTAGAAGATGGTTCAATATATGCACCAACACTATCTTGCTAGATGATGCTTCTTTTATCCTCGAGAAATCAAGTGGAATTCACACAGCACGTCTTGTGGGTGTAAGGGAAGAACAACAAGGGCTAGAAGTAAAAGAGCAAAAACTTGACATACCTTTTGTAAGGATAAAGTCTTGGTATAACGAGTTTCTTCTGATAATGGATTGCTCCTGCAGCCTGTATGTTTTCAATCTAATCACCAACCAAAGATCATATCTTCCTGAATGTCATACAATTTGTAGACCACACTTTACTGACAGATGTGGAGTGGCCCTTTGCTTTGATGGATTCAAGGGAGTATACAAGGTCGTTCATGTTTTTAGGGGCCCACCATTCCGATTTCATATTCTTATCTTGGGAAGCGAGATGGGCTCGTGTGTTACCTCAAGTTGGAAAAGGGTGGAAGTTGGTTGGGATATGGACTGGCAGAATTGTTGGAGTGACCCGGTTTCAGTTCAGATTCAAGGTAGATTTTTTCATTGGGATGTTCATTGTTCCAAATACCTTGTTTCTGTGGATATGGTTAAAGAGGAAATTTACCAGATGAGCCTACCGGGGTCCAATGATCATATGTGCAGCCTCTATTCTATTTTTGAGATGGGTGGTTTCCTCACTCTCATTGATGGAGTTTGTAGGGGCAAAGCTGACATATGGGTTCTTAAAGATTTTCAAAGGATGAAGTGGGAGAAGTTGCTGTCAATCTCTCTCCCGGATTATTACATTGAAAAATATCCTGTTACTTGTTTTATATCTCCTGTCTGTGGCGTGATAAGTAAGAGATATATTATCTTCAGAAAACGTAGATCTGGTAAGTATTGTAGTTATGATCTGAAAGATGGAGTTGTGAAGGAGCTAAACATCCATATTGAATGTGGTGATCGTTATGTGGTTCGTTCATCAGCACCAAAGTTTATGTAGTGTAATACATGAATGATGTTGTCCTCAGTCATTTTACCAATATCCATAGGACATTGAAAAACCTATTCAATATTTAAACTCCTCATTGTGTCATTGTGTGCATATTATAATTGGATGCCGTTTTTGTCTATACATTTTAACAGAAATATAAACATATAGAATCCACACTACAAGAATAACCACCTGCACCAACGACATCTATACAAACGACATGTCGTCGGTACGGAGTTGACCATCTTTCTTTGACCTGGAACTCTATTCCGACGACATATCGTCTGAATAGGCTAGGGGGGAATGAAATTTTGGCGGTTGTCTGAACACTATGCCGACGATAAGTTGTCCGTATAGGTAACGAAAATTGTAATTTCCAACTTTCTTATAATTCGTGTTTCAGTAAATAAAACCGATGTTGTTTAGATGTATTCTATACTTGTATAAAATTCGAATTGGTGTGTATACTTTGTTCGGTTGTTTTCCGGTGAACACCATCCACCACGTTGACTTCCCACTTCCGCCCACTACTGACTTACTACTTCTGGCCACCACACCGCCCACCGCCACAGAAAAGGTAAGTTTTTTTTTTTTCTGTTTTTTTTGTTGGATATTGTTGTATGAAAATGTGAAATTTGATATATGTTGTTTGATTTCATGTTTATAATTCTTTGAAAATGCCTACTATGATGAATGATGAAATTTGTTGGGCATGATTTGTTTGATTTTGTATTTAGATTTGTACATATTTGTATGAAATTGGTTGGATATTCTTTTTTTTTTTTTCGTTTGGATTGCTTAATTCTATCCCGACGACATGTCGTAGGTAAAGGTGACCTTCATAGCGACGATAGGTCATTGGAATAGGTTTATAATAAAACTTTTTTTTCCTCGAAAATCAGTCCCGACGACCCTTTGAAGACGACATGTCGTCGGTATTGGTGGCTCTGTACTAACGACATCTATCCTGACGACATTTTCCACTTTTACCAAAGGGGCTATACCAACGACTTTGTACAGATGACAAGTTGTCGGTATAGGCTTTTCCGACATGTCGTCAGCATAGTTGTTGAAAGTGTCGTCGGTATAGGCCTCATTCCTTGTGGTGCCAATTTAATTATAAAATAACAACTTATCAACTCGTCATATTCTTTGAGAAGTTATAAAGGAAAAAACGACAAAATGAGTTTACACACATGTCATGCTTTAAGAACCAAAAAAACCATGGAACAAGCTTTGCTTTATGGAGTACACTATTATGACACAATATTCGAGAAAGAAGGCCTAGCTAACTTTGAGTCGCAATTGTGATGAGTAGTCGACAACTAAAATGGGAGCCCCACGTGCAAATCTTTAACATGACTGAGTTTGAGTTTGAGCATGTAGAATCCACAACAAAAAAATATTTTCAGTTGAATGTGTATAAGTTGGTAAAACAAAGGAAGACATTGAATGTTTCTGCTATCCGAAGGTGGAGTGATAACAACAATGTTTAAATGTTGGAAAGTTAAAATTTGTTAAAGTTTGTGTGTAGTCCGCCGTTGAATTTAATCAAATTTGAGAAGGGTGAGCTATGGATACATCAAAATCATCATATTTTGTCTCTACTTTTTTATTTTCAACCAAATCAGTGACGGATTACATATGGAATTTAATGTTTTTTTTTTGTCCTAATTATCTATTCATGTTAGTGTTTGAGTGCATCATTCGTACACCTTAAAATTTGTGTTTATATGATATTGTGTTCGACAAGTCATTTGTTCGTTGTATTTCATGTGAGGTGCACTATCTTCAGTTTTTTAATTTCAAGTATTTTGTTTTACATTATGTAAGAGGAAGCCTTGTTAAACTTCAATTTAAGTACCATTAGTATGTAAGTTAAAGGTTGCACACTAGAAGTAGAAATGATGCCCAACACATTGGAGGTTTTGTATCATGGAAGTGATTTGTACACAACTTTTATCCATACACTCCAATTCATATTTTAGAGTATTATACAAAAAAAAGACATTATAGAAATCAAAATGTATTATGTACAAATCACTTCTGTTTGTATCAAGTTGGAGTTTCGATTGTTCACATGCATAGTACGTTTGGAAGCTATAAGTTAGTCAAAAAAAAGGAAGGCCTTGAATTTTTACGTTGTGCGAAAAGGTAGAGCGAAGACAACAATGTTTGAATATCAAAAAAATTAGAAATCGTTAAGATTTATGCGTAATCCGTCACTAAATTTGATTAAATTGCGACAGTTTAATGACATATTCATCAAAATCATTCAACCAAATTATTTGTCTATAACCTTTGTTAGATATCATAATTTTAATTTAAACTTATTAAAACTATATGTACTAAAATAAATTTGGTATATTTATAACTAGGATGATAATACCCCGCTTTGCGGGTATCGTAATCTATAAATTTTCTATAAGACATGGACATTTTTATAAAATTTTAAAAATATAAACCGTTTCTATAAAAACCTATGTATGGACCTTTTCTGTAAATTAGAATATTTTGTAATTTATTTGTAATTAAAACTACCAACATACAAAACTGTTGTGTTCAAAGTATGAATCATAAAAATATATTATTCATTTGGCAATTGTAATTAGTATATGTAATGATTTAACCTACCAAAATGTATAAGTTTCTTCTTTCTTAAGCGAGATTCTTGTTACTATAAAAAACAAAGTAGCTAGCAACGAGTTAGAAAATAAACCAACGCCAAAAGTACACGACCACTCCATATAAGAAACAAAACATGGAAACTAGCACATCATAAAGGAACTACGAACCATAAAAACCAACCCCAAAAACAAAGGTTGAGGACAAGAAATTTCAGACAAAGACATGTTAACGTATCTTGTGCAACAACTGGATGGATAAAAAATCAAAAGGTTCTATTTTGGACAAACTCTTGTTGTACGTAGTACTTATCCTGTAATATCCCAAAAATTAAGGGTAAAAGTTTCATTTTTAAGATGTAAATTCTGACATTCATTTACATTTATCCAAACATTAAGAAATTCCAAATGAAAACAATTATCAGAGTAGCTCCCAAAATTATAAATTGCGGAAAAACATAGGTGGGTCCGCTGCGATCAAGTCGGGCCCTTCCCTTTCGAACCGAAAGTACCCGAAACCATAAACCACAAACTGTAAGCACAAAGCTTAGTGAGTTCCCCAAATACCACATACCATACATATCATACGATCCATACATGACATACATATCCAATCAATCAATAAAAGTGTTATGTGCCAACCATAGTCTTGCCATTATGCCACGAGCCGCCTCGTGGTCTTCCTTGCCAGGTCGGGGGCCAAAACCCTGGGTCTTACAGACAAGTGTCAGGAGCCACTTCTGGGTCTTCCATGCAAGCATCACAAAGACAACTAGCATACAATCTACACTACTTAACTAGTTAACTGTCAGAGTTCAGACTCTGGTCTTGCATACAGTTTGCCAAGAGCCGCCTCCTAGTCTTTCATACAAACTGCCAAGGGTTACCCCTGGGTCTTCCTACAATACATAAACCGAATGGGCCGACATTGGTGCCTTCGACCCATAGAACAGTGAGGAGACTCACTTCGAATGCAGAAGCTCACTGATAGAAATCCCAAGTTGTTGCCCTGACGACTTCCCGAGCTATCAATACCAAAATAACACCCAATTAGCAATTGGGTTCCAAACTCTGATCCATAATCATACTTGGGGTAAAATGACCATTTTACCCCTGACCCAACATGAACCAAAACTGAGGCCCAAGACCAAAAGCAAAAAGGCCCAAAACTACAAGATCCATAAAAGCCCACTAATGGCCCAATTTTCCAGATTGGGCGCAACCCCATATGGGCATTATCCTAAAGCCCAAAAATTCCTTAGCCAACAATAAATCTCAATTAGCCCAAAAGGCCCAAAGCAAAAAAGTGGCTGAAGAAATGTGAAGCCCAAAACGCAACAAACCAAAAACTATCAGATCGACGAACGTGGGCAATATGCTCAGCTACATTGGGCGTACTCGACGAAATTTGGATCGCGACCAAAAGAAGGTACGTTGGGCGTACCATCAGTTACACGGGGTGTAACCGGAACTTCTCCAAAATTCAAAATACGTCTTAATCCTTTAAGTCCTCACTTCATAACCTCATAAGACCTTCTAATCAAGCTCTGAATGCATAAAATCGGCACCTTTATGCATTTAAATGACTCAATGGAACCCAACAACCAACTTAATCCATTAAGACCTAACATAAACCAACTAGAGCATGCATGGACCATTTCTAAGCATCTAGCAAGCATTTTTATGGACTAACAACATCAAGAGAGGCAAGATCTATCACTCCAAGCTCCTGGAGTGGCTCAAACTTACAAGGAGAACTTAATACATCATAAAAAAAACCCTTAATCTTGCCCTAAACTCAAACGTGCACAATAAGAGGTCAAGATGAGAACTTTATACTTTGAATGAACTGGAAATGAAGCCAAAAGTCTGGATCTAAACGTCCTCCTTTGAACCACAAGCTAGCACCAAGCACTCTTTTCTTGGAAATGAACAAGAACACACCAAAAAGTACACTTAGATCTTTCAAACAATCAAAATGAGATTAGGGTTTCTGAAATGAGGCTAGAATGCAATGGAGGCTGGGAAAGGAAAGAGCCTTGCGCTCATAAAGATGTTTATATAGTGCCCAAACCCTAAAAATTAAGGTTTGGCACTCTGACCATTACGCTGGGCGTACACACCCAGGCACGTGCCTTCAAGCATGCACACATGGGACTGAAACGCAAGCCTTTTCCAAAAGGGGCCATTTCTACCAAAATCTTCAAAATGCCATAACCTCCTCATCTTAGGTTCGTTTCCAACGAACCTTATATACACGGAAAGGTGGCGAGAAACCCTACGGTTCTAACAACACACCCAAGCCTTAAAACTTCCCGAACAAAACCCACAATCCATAAAAGATCAAGTCATCAAATTACGATTACACCCTTCGCCTCCGAAGACACAATCGAACACTCGGATCACTTAAACCGTAACACCCACACCCGAGAAGGGCCAAATTATTTCTTTCCCAAGGCCCTAAGCCTCATGACCACTGAAGATTGGGCCGCAGCCCCGAATAAAGAAGCAAATCCGAAACCGAGTGTTACATATCCAATCAAAGTCAAATGATTGCAATGTGGAAAATATAATGAAAGATGAAAATACACCAAAAGGAACTTTCAGACACATAAATTAATGACGGAAAAAACATGTTGCTATAACGATGTGCTTCCCACAAATAAAAGTACGGATTTTTAAGAACTTTTGTGACGGATTAATGACCAGTAGTTACGAGAAAAAAAAATTATCGCAAAAAAAAAATTTATTCGCTACTCCATCATAACATTTAAAATAATATCGACGGATTAGCAACAAAATTTTAAGTGTTTTTTTTTGGTAGTGTGAACTGTGTTTTTTTGTACTTATGAACCATGTTTTTACATTATTAGCAACATTAGCAACATATTAGCGATAGATATTGTTATTTTTAAGCCATGTTTTACTTTATTGGCGACAAGCTATTGATGATACATTTGTTTATATTGGACCACAACATCCAAAATAAAGTTCTCACCAAAGCCTTAAAAACTTTGCGCTTGATCTCAACTCCAATTTATTGTAACCACAAACCATGTTGCATCAAATGATACTAGATTAGAGGATTGGACGCCCCACCATTCAAATATCGTCCGAACCCAGCAAGGGGAAGCACAAACCAGAAACCACTCCCCTACTTGATAAGTTGGATATAATGGAGAGTTTATTGAGCATAACTCTCCAAAATATAGTATTTACTCGATTGGGAAAGACAGTTTGAAGTTAGTCAGTCATCATGCAAAAAACTTACTTCTCAGAGTTCCCCGATCCATATACCTCAAAACACGAACATAACGATTCAAATCAATGTTGGTGACCCCTACCTGGTTTTTATTATTTTAACCAAACCATGTTTATACAAGTGATTATCCTACTTAGAAAACCCTCATAACTCCCAGTATCGAGATCTACCCATTAACCAAAAAGTAAATTTGACATTTCTTTCTTTGCAAACTAAACTTTCCCATTTTATTTATAGTATTCCCATCAGCATAGATATTGTAAAACTTAAGGCAGAAAATTTTAATTCGCTTTAAAAGCCTATGTTGGTGATTTAATATCATTAATATTATTTAAGTGTAATAGAATTAAATTTGTTGAAAAAAGTGATCTTGTTGAATATTGAACAAGTTATGATGGTATATGAGTGCACACTTGTTCAAGTTTTCAAGATTCAAAGAACATTGTTATGTAGGGGGGAAGCCCCTAAACGAACAGGGTCCGAGGGCAGTGCCCCTGGGAGCAGGGTCCAAGGGGCTGCAGCCCCTGGCGGGGTCCAAGGGGCAGAGCCTCTGGCTGGGGTCGGATTAAAAATGCATCAAAAATCCAATTTTTAGAAAATTGACCCTTTTCCTGAGATCCATTTTATAGCAGGTTTGGTAGTTTTGATTACAGTTTGTAACTGAATTGTGACAGTTTTCAAACACGAATCATATAACCGTTTTTTGGTCATTTTTCTAGTACAATTTTGAAGAACATTTCACATACATTCTCTGATTTCGTATCTCTGAATTTCATCCAATTGAGTGTTCGATCTGTACCATCGAAATACTTCAATTTGATAGTGAATCACGACTTTCAGAGAATCCAAGCAATCTGTTCATCCCCTATTTCTAACAGTCTAGTATGTAAATTTCAGTCTAATATGTAAATTTCAATCTACAGAAACATAATATGTAGTTTTCAATTGATAGAAGGAAGCTATATGAAGAAACAAATTTCTCACATCACCTTATAACCTTAAAAAAAGGAAACCAACCCCATCTACCAGTCAAGATCCGAGCATTAACAACTGCTTAACCTTTCAAGTAGGAAAATTGTCACATCATATGTTTACTTCAACCAATATAGCAACAAGTCCTAAAAGCCTAAACTATGTTTACCACATCATATATGCATGCATTAACACAGTTAAACAGCTCAGATTACGAGCAAGATTGTAGTTTGCAGTATTAATACATGATCTAGGTACTGGGTAGTAAAGAAACTATTAGAGCATAACATTCATTATCCTATACTATAACCAAAACAAGGCCTCCGCTTTTATGTTATACAGTTTTCCACTTGTACATTATGATATATATATATATATATATATATATATATATATATATATATATATATATATATATATACACTGCATTGTCTACATAACTTATAGAAAACTTGGTACTGCTGAATGAACCACACAAGGTTCACTATCTCGACAAAGGATGTTGAGTTCTTTTGTGACTTCATTTGTGAGATCATAACTAAATAGGCCAGGCTTGGGACTAGATTTCTTCAAGATGAGATATCTCATACTTATCACGCTACAGACAGGATATATTCTTGTGTTCACATAACTCGGGACACTTATTGATTGCAACTTCTCCCACTTCATCCTCTGGATATCTTTAAGAATCCATAAGTCAGCATGATTCCAAGAAACGTTATCAAGGAGAGCAAGGAAACCACTCATCTCAAAAAGAGAATATTGGCGTTTCACCCGATCATCATTACATTCAGCTGGTAGGCTCATTTGGAAAAATTTCTCTTTCACCATATCTATGGAAACCAGGTACTTGGAACAATGAACATCCCAGTGAAAGTACCTGCCTTGAACTGAAACCGGGTTGCCCCAATAATACTGCCCTTCACCCATATCATAAGAAGGCACTTGGATCTTTTTCCACATTGAGAAAACATGAGAGGAAATATCTCTGTTGAAGACAATAATCTTGCATTCGATTGGTGGGCCCATAAACACATGGATAGCCTTGTATATTCCCAGGAATCCATCGAAGGCAAGGGCCAGTCCACATTTGCTGGTATAGTGTCCTCCGCAAGATGCCATACATCCCGGAAGACATAATGCTTGCTTAGTCATTAGATTGAAAACGTACAAAGATTCTTTTCTGTTGGGGTCCACTATTAAAAGGAACTCGTTACACCAAGACTTTAAACGAAATTTACAAGGCATATCTAGCTGTTGTTGTTCCAATTCCAGCCCTTGTTTTTCTTCCCTTATAACCACCTGAAACGCTGTGTGAAGTCCACTTGACCTCTGGACTATGAAAGAAGCATGATCTCTTAAGATCCTGTTAGTAATTATATTGAACCATCTTCTACAGACAAACTTAGCCTTATAACGAAGGATATCAGCAGGAAGCCTTCTCAGGATATCAAAAAGGATGTCATCTAAAAGAAAGGAAGAACGGTCCACCTTCACTTTCTTCATCGTCTGTTCAACTTCAGCTTCTTCCCTGCATTTTCTTATTGCCATCTTCATTGATTCCTGTTTCAAAATAAACATTAACTTCATTTGAGAGGAACAACATTAGGAAGAAATATAACTACAAAGTGTCTAGTACTTCTGTTGACAAAGTGGAGTATTGTTTAACTCCATAGTAACTAATCAAGTGATGGAAGATTTTTCTAGTAAAACTAAATGAAGATAAGATTCCTGATTATTGATTATAACTTAATCGAATGACTTGTGTTGATTGGAGTAATATAGTAGATATCAGGACGTTCCGAGAGGAAATCTTATTTCGTGTAAAAGAGGCACCACATAATTAGTAAACTCATCACCCCCCCCTGAATTGATTCGAAGGCCAGAACCAACCAGTACCATCTAGAGGTATCTCGGTTAAAATACAAAAAGAAAATGGTATTCTCTATATAGTTAATATTGTTGCCGATTTTGAAGATCCTCGATCCAGATTCCAGATCGCGAATCACTAATAAAAAATGGGACTATAAAATCGTCAAAAATTTGGATATTGAATAAGCAACTAGTAGTCAAGGAAGTTCAAGAAAAAATCTAAAAAGAAAATAGATCTATATTTTTTGTCCTGGAGGAAGTCCAAATCTTGCCTGGATAAATTTCCATAATGGTGTGAAAATCAATTTAAGTTGTCATATTTGGCAAGCCAAAAAATAGCTTATAAGCTACCTTTTTTAAAAAAGCTACTCAGGGTAGTTTTTGAACTAGCTTATAGAGTTTGTTTTTTTAATTCTCACAAATATACCCTTTATTAATTTGAATAAACAAATATGTCTACATGTTCTTAAATGTCATTTTACACTTTCCAGCTAGCTAACCAGCTACTTTTTACCAAACGTTATTTTTTATAAGTTAGTTTATCAGTTATCAGCTACCAGATAGCCTTTTAGCCTGTCGTTTTCAGCAAACATAGTCTAAATCCATTTTCCTAACAGAAAAGGTATATATCTCCACTATCGGCACTATCATTCCCTTGCATATTTCTAGAAAAAGGTTGTTTTTTTTAACTCAAACACTTGATCTTCCACTCATAGTGGAGTAACTCAGCTGTCATGGAGACAACATCATATTTTATGGCTGAACCCTATACAAGGCATATTAAGTATAAACTAAACAAGTTAAATATAGAAAGTCTGAACTTTCATCTCCACAAGCTATTTTAGCATTTTTATTCCTTCCTCCTTTCCATCTTTAGAAAAATCGAACTACGGTGTGACGGCTTTAGTAATTAAAGGTTTAATCCTCATATGGAAAGTTTTATACAAAAATATAATAAAAAGATAATTGTATAGCCCTAGAAAAGATGCACCCGTACACATCTTCATGCAGGAGGCACAAATTTTGCATCTTCTTAGGACATAGACTATAAAATGGAGTCCAACTTATATAAACTAGAAGTCGTATCAAGCCTAGCGTGTATAATCACTTGTCCACAAGAGCTAACAAGACTCACCACATGCATAGAGTGATTTAGCTAAATACGAGACGAACTCAGTCACTAAATTACGATCCAACTAATACACGTTCGCATGATTTGCAAGCACGTAAGAGAGCCACATTTCACATCAAGGTTTCTCAAAATTACATAAAAGAACGAAAGAAGTTCATAACAAAACAGATTATGAAATCGAGACAAGAAGGTGACGAGAGTAAACCTGTACGGCGCTAGTAGCTTCCATCGGTGAAAAAATCAAGGATGATCGGAATAAAGTTACCGGTGAGTAATCTGGAGAAAAGGGGGAGAAAATGAGGTTAGTCTAGGGCTCAATTCAGCAAAGCGGAGATTTCATGTACTTCCCAAGCTCCTGCCTCCTAGTGTAGCCGTAGGCAGCGGTGGGGATTCGTACTTGAGTATACAAAATCTTCTTACACTTGACAAAGATCTTATTTAATGTATTTAGATTTTATTTAAAGTCTTTTATGCAACGTTCTAAATAACGTAAAGCGTGACTTGGTGGCAATGTCAAGCCTCAAGCTTTTCTGAGCCTTGACGAGCCACGTTGTTTGTAAGACGTGACTTAAAGCGGCAATTTTGTATATAATTCATATTTTTATATGTATTTTCAACTATTATTTATTTTTATACACATATATGAGTCAAGACGGCGTTTTGGTAAAGCTTGGCGGCACATACAAGCCTTGGAGCCATGACGAGCTTTTTAGAACCTTGCTTTTATGTCAAAAAAAGTGATAAATCTATTTAACATATTTATATCTTATAAAATACACTATTTCGCCAAATAAGTCTATAAAAAAATACAAGGGTGTTGTTAATATAAATAAAATCTTCATATGATATTTTCTTCATATGATATTTCTTTGGGCCGGAATCTAATTTAATATAATATAAAATCTCCATATAATATTAGTTTGGGTCCGAATCCAATTTAAAGTGTCAGCATAAGCATATATAAATGCCATGTTTTGCAACGAACTTTTAAGAAAAATTAGATTTTACCTATTTCTTAAATCGAATTAATATAAAAAAAAAAAATTACTTCATCTATTAGTATGAATGTAAAGCTTTTATTTTATAAAAAAAATAACCTAATCCTAAACTTTTTTTCAAAAAATAGTCAAAAACTAAGAAAATACACAAATAGCCATTAACATCGTAGATGCCAAGCCATGGCTGCGATTTTTTCTAAAGTTCATCGCTATTAATCTCTGGTTATTCAAAATAAGAAAGGAAACAAATATTTCAAGGTTGGATTGGTTAATAAAAATAGGAAATGATATTAAATATATATTTCAAGGTTGGTCTAGTAGTAAGGTGCAACACCCATTAGTAGTAATAGAATTGTGCACAAAGTATTTGATTGATATTTTTTATTATTTTTATTAACCTGAAATTGAGGAGTAAGGGGGGCTGGAGATGGTGTAAATAAACCCGAAAGCTACGAATTTAATTATCGATTACGCCCTAGAAAAACCTCATTTTCTATCAATTACTCACCGGAAACATACCTCCAATGATCATGGATCTATTAGCAGTTTAGCAACCTACAGGTTTTCTCTCTTTCATCGTATTGTCGCAATTTCGTTTAAGTCGCCTCTTACGTGTTTCGTTCTTATGTCGTCTTGATATTAATTAAATGTCTCTTTCCGAAAATGTCTGTTGTGTGTGAATCGTAGATGTGATATAACTGCTATTTTAAAACAGTCGATCTCCGTTTTAGAATGTATATTATAGAATCACGTATAGTGCTCTATCTGTTTTGAACAGGTTAAAGAGGTAACTCTTTCCTTTCATTCCCTTTTAGATGAAATAAACTCTGTTTTTATTTTCTTGGAAATGGTATGCAATTCTATTCAGGGGTCGGTCGAAACAAAACAAGTACATTGCGTATTTATTCTAATGTTTGAAAACTTATCCATGTCGGTATAATGGCGTTCAGAAAGCAAGTATGCAAAATTGTCAAGCAACCCAGAATCGCTATACATTCTTGGATTTTATGGCTATCTCTTTAAATTATCAAATCTGACCTGTAGCAATTTTTTTTTTGGTCTAGAAGTATGAATGATGCTTCCAAGAAAATCTAGTAATTAAAAGGTTAATAACTTAGAAAGTTAGAACCATGCACTCTACGTTCTTTATTTTTATTGATCCAAATAAAGCACATACCTTTTTGCTTGAGGTATGTTATTGTATATTCATGTATGCTGCATTGTGCATACTTACGTAATTGTGTTTCCTCATCATGTTGCAGCTTACAATAGAAGGTAATATATAATTTTGAGAGAGAAGTCGATGGAGGTGGCAATGAGCAAGTGCAGGAATTAAAGAGTCTGAAGATGAACAGGTGGATTGGTTTGTCTTTCTTTCAGATGACATCCTTTCAGATATCCTTGAAAGGCTTCCCAATGGTTTCCTCCATCATAAGGCTAAGTATTGTATATCTGCAGAAGATGGTTCGACATAATCACCAACATGATCTTGCTAGACCATGCTTCTTTTATCCCTCAAAAGTCAAGTGGAATTCACACAATGCGCCTTGTGGAAATAAGGGAAGAACAACAAGGACTAAAAGTGAAAGAGCAAAATCTTGACATACCTTTTGGTGGCAAGATAAAGTCCTGGTATAACGAGTTTCTTCTTATATCGGATCCCTCTAGAAGAAAATCTCTGTATGTTTTCAATCTAATGACCAAGGAAAAAGCTAGCTTATCTTCCCGAATGTCATACATCTTGTCAAGGACACCATGCTAGCAGATGTGGAGTGGCCCTTTTCTTCGATGAATTCAAGGGAGTATACAAGGTGGTTCACTTTTATATGAACCGAAAAATCCAGTTTCATATTCTTATTTTTGGAAAGGGATATTGTCTCTGGTGTTTCCTCCTCAAATTGGAAAAAGATGGAAGTTCCTTCTGATATGAAGGATTTGCAATGTTATGGGTGTAGCCCAGTTTCAGTTCAGGTTCAAGGCAGGTATTTTCACTGTGATGTTGATTGTTCTCACTACCTGGTTTCGGTGGATATGGTAAAAGAGGAAGTTTTCTGGATGAGCCTACCTGGATCTTATGATCGATCGTAGCAGCAGCCTTTATTCTATTCTTGAAATGGGTGGTTTCCTTACTCTCATTGTTGGAGGTGGAGCTCTTTTGGACAAGGCTGATATATGGATTTTCAAAGGATGAAGTGGGAGAAGCTGCAGTCGATAACTGTCCAGGATAACTGCTTTAGAAACCATCTTGGAAATTATTTTCTATTTCCTGTGTGTGGTGTGGTAAGTAAGAGATATATCATCTTTGAAAAACCTAGATCTCGTATGTGTAGTTATGATTTGAAAAATGGAGTTGTGAAAGCGCTGAAAATCAACTTTGAATCTGCTTAATTATCCTTATGTGGTATGTTCATACAGTCGAGATTATGACTTATGAGAATAAAGATAGTATCGATGTGGTGAACTCAATACAAGTAATACTTATTTTTATACTAAGTTTAGAAGAAGAGTAATTTGGTAATTTTGGGTTCCTAATGGCAAGAAGAGATTCAAACGGT